AGAACAAATGGAAGACAACAGTTGTTGAAATTGTTTCTTACTGGTTTGAAGAAGCTGTAATATTATCGTGGAAAGTCTTTGAAATGTTAATGCTACAGTAGCCTTGTGTGGTTCTTCGCCTCCGTACATACCAACAAACTAAAAACAAAATTAAATAAACAATAAAGATGGGAGCGAAACCTAAAAAATACAAGTAGAAAATCATGTATGAGAGACAAACAAGAAATGGAAGATACGACAGGAAAGAGAAAAAGTGGAAATGASGAAAAGAAAAATAGTACTTACCATAGTTGCTGTATCAAGAAGACAACTTTGTGGTAACATAGAGAAGAATTCGATGATAAGCTGTGCAATTTCTGGCACAAGAGGTCCCATGTGATCCCTTATTGTATCGATGGCTCGCTCAAGACACAGACAAACGTCCTACAAAAAAGTAAGCAAAAGAAAAACTAAACATGAATAAGTGCCAGGGAAAAGGAATACATGGCTTCACATGCACACTCTGAGTTTCAAGGGTATATGTCAGAGCTATGAAGTCACGTGCTTCGTTTGCATTGTGCGTTCATACMTAAGCTTTCCCGCGCTGAATAGGTGGACGCGTCTGCAAATTTCGCGCGCATTTTGCAAAAGTGACGAATGACTGTATAACGTCATATGTATTCTTTGCATTATGAGCGCACTTCTAGGCTATGATTTCCTACATTATGCATTTTGGGTACATACCTGAGCTACGTCATTGTCGCGAATCCAGGAGTTTAGAGACTTTAATGACGTCATAACTTCTCTTAAAACAGGAGCTGCCTACAGCAGAACCACAAAAAGGTATCAAAACTCATACTATCCAATCACAATTCGGAAGCCATTTGAGAGCAACACACTCTGCTCACGTGACTCGGCACTGATCACGAGCCAACCACGTGGGTGGAAAAGAAAGACACATGATCCAGAGTTAAAATGCATTGGTACAACTTAGTAGGAAAAGACATGGACACTGCATGAGAAAAGTTCAAGCAATGGTATCTGGAATATGGTTCTGGATCTTGAATTCCAGATTCCGAGATCTCAAATTCCTAATATTTCGARAATCCGGATTCCTTACACAACGCGGGCACTCATTACTCATACGAGGTCTTTTCGCAACTGCACACATGAAAGTTTGTACTTACGGGGTGGCTGTGGTTAGACGCAAGGGAACCTGGCACTAAACACTTGAACAACACAGCAAAKATCTTCAGAGAGAACTGCAGTCTTGGTTTGAGTTCCTTGGAAGGCTGAATCACACAAAMATTACGTTAAAAGGAAATGGCATTATACGTGAGTAGAGTTCATAGTCTAAAAAGATATAAAATGAATGCAATTCAAGAGTCTCAGTAAATTAGACTGGCCGTTCTAGATAACGTATATTATTTGTTTTCTGGTCTAATTTAGACTCTTTCCACAAAGAATTTATTTGAAATTGCATACATTTTATTAAGTCCCTTCCTTTGATTCGATGGTTTTTCTCTGGCGGGCTCTTTAAGTTTCAATTCGATGAGTTAGTTAGCCATGCCCTGGCTTATATCAGCCCAGAGGTTGTTTCAGGGTTCAATCTGTGAGTTAGCC